TTCTAGAATAGCACCGACCACAAGGACTACTTAGTACTTAAAAAGTAGGTAACATTGCAGAAGAACTATGTTTTAATTTGATTTAATTTCAAATATACCTGTCCTGGTTGGATTTTTTTTTAATTTAACATAAGCTACAGTCATTTGGGAAGAGAAACTCTCATTGAGAAAAATGTCTCCATAAGATTGTCCTATAGGCAAGCCTGTCAGCATTTCATTGATTAATGATTGACGTGGATAGTAGGTAGAGCCACCCTTGAATTGTATAAGAATGTAGGCTTAATAAAGAGGAGCAAGCCAGGAAACTGCACTCCTCTAAGCATGCTACAGCTCTGACCTGGCTTCCCTCAGTGGTGGAAGTTACCTGGACTCAACCTACTCTTGCTGAATCTGATGGGGGAGGAGCCATGAGCCAGAGCCAAGGACAAGCAGGGCTGTAGGAAGCAGAAAAGGCAAAGACATGTCTCTTTCCCTAGAGTGTTATAGTATTTTGGAAAAGGAACCAGGCCCTGACACATCAACATGTGTGTGTGAGGGGGTATACATGTATGTTGCTTTGTGTGCACATGTGTGTACATCCATGTGAGGAGGACCCAGGACAACCTCAGAGATCATTCTTTAGTTGCCATAATATTTATTTTTTTAACAGGGTCTTGAGGCAGGTTGCCCACTGAGCCCCAGAGATCCACCAGTCTCTGCCTCCCCAGTGCTGGGATTACAAGAACACCATTCCTAGCCTTATATGTCGATGCTAGGGATTAAACTCAGGTCCCCATGCTTATGAGGATGGCATTTTTACTAATGGATCCATCTTTCCAAGCCTTGAAGACATCTTTCTCTTACCCTAGCCACACCCAAGTTGGCTGAAGAACTCTGAGACAATGCACAGAGGTTGTCTTAAGATTCCAAACTGTGGTGGTAGGTTTCTGTGTCAGAAACTACAGGGTGGTGCAGCTGACCTGGGCCCAAGAAAGACGCCTTCATAGCAATGATACTACCTCCCATGAGCACATGCTGCCTCTCACAGTGGAGTTCTCCTCCCCGGGGGTTACCTTCCTCTTCCCTGCCTACCTCTGTCCTGCATTTCCAGTCTCAGCTGAGGCCCAGAGTTGCAACCCCTCCCACATGCATGCACACTCTCACAATCACTTGCACCCCCTCCCACATGCTCCCACATGCATGCACACTCTCACAATCACTTGAGAAGCTCTCACTCTTCTGAACTCCCACAGGCTTTCTGCTGGACCCTCGAATTCTGGACTTAATTACATAGTAGGTAGTGTTACCTACTGTCATTTCATGACTGTTTATCTTGTTTCCAAAATAAGACTGAACCTTTTTCTCAAACAGGAACTGTATTTTGACCTATTGCTGTTATCTCTAAGTACACACACACACACACACACACACACACACACACACTACATAATTTTGTTTTTAATCACCTTGTCATACAAAGAAAACACTCAGGCATATGTTTATAAATAGATATCTTCAATTGCTTTCTTGTTGATGGTGTTAAAGTCTAAGGTTAGATCAAAATGGATAAGAGAGGATTATAGTTTTTCACTGATGGTTCCAGTCAACAGTAGCACTAATCATGTTCCCCATTCTGTCAGTGAGAGAATTGGGTGAAATCTGTTTGGAATCATAGCAAGGTGGGGGGGGGGGCTGTGTCTGTGATACTCATAACCCAGTGATAAACACACAATAGATGCTCAATAAAAATGGGTTAGGCAGGGCTATAACTCAGTGAGAAAGCACTTCTCTAGCATAGGCAAGACTTTAGATTGTATTCAGCTTCAGCACTAAGATAATAGAAGGTGCATCAGACAACTGGTCAGTGTGCAAGCTTCTCCTATCCCATACTCTAACCACAGAAGATGACCCCTATGCAAATGTCTATGGACACAAAAAGAGAACAGCTGACCTCCCCTGAGAGTAGTTCCTAAAAGAACAGACAGATGAGTTTTCCAGAACATGTTGTTCATGTCTCAAAATAAAATCCACCTCTCATTTCAGGGTGCATTTATTTTAGTGGTCAGGGGAAGGGTTTTGTAAAGAAAACAATGAATGAGCCCATATTGTGGGAACAAGAATTAAAATAAGCAGTGCCTTGCCATCTGCAGACATAGATGCCTTCCCATCCTGCTGCCTTTTGTGGGGCCCCATTCTGCTCTATCTGCTCCTCTTGTGCTTTAAAAATGTGGGGGGCAGGTCAGAGAGTGAGTCTGGGATAGCTATTGTCCTGCTAACAAAGCTTGCACGACATGCTTGGTACATAATGCACGCTGCCACACCAAAGCCCTGCTGTAACCCTATGATGGGGGCTGCCATCATTATCATCCTTTTATAGGAGACAATATTGGGAAAGTAGGATGGAGGACAGATAAGGTGATCTTGCACAAAGTGGCTGAGGAAAAGCCAGTTGAGTTGGGACAGAACAGAGAGCTGGGTTCTGACCAAATTTTCTCTGCCGAAGTGCTCTGGAACACCACGCCGGCTCTGTGTGCTTCTCTGGTCCTCGTGGTATTTCTAGAAACTGGAGGTGGGCAAGGAGGAGTGCGAAAAAGAGATATGGGGATGCATAGTCTTAAAAAAGCTCTCTCCCATCCCTCCCTGCCTCAAGTGAAGCGTTGTGTGGAGTAAGTAGAAATGGAGAGATGCCAACAAGCGGCAGAGTAGTCACAGCTTTTCCTAACTCGGTCCTCAAAACTCCCAATCTTCCAAGGTCAAGGACAGGGGTCCAAGATCGAAAAACAGTGTAGACATCAAGTAGTCAGGCTGGGGTAAATTGTCCATCCCACATCTCCAGGCTGTGTGAAACCAGACAAGAGAGTCAGCATCTCTGAGCTTCAGGTGCCTGATCTGTAAACATGGAGTAGTTAACAATGCATACCTCCTTGGTTTGCTCTGCAGATGGAGTGGATGGAGCTGAGAAGCAGCAGAACACACACTGAAACATTTGAATACCCACCAGTCTTATGTTGACTGTACTATTTACTGTCTTTAGATGGCAAATGCAACCAAAATACAGTATGCAAGCCTATACCCACGATTAGAATGGCAACATGGTATGGGTTGTACACTGAAAAAGATCCAGGCACTGGCATTCCCTCTGGTTTTTAATAACCATGGTGCCAGCAATATATCTTTCTCTATCCTCAGAAGTATGTATAGCACTGGGATAGACTTATTTCTTGTACCTTATCCCAAACCCCAGGCAGCGAAGGCACTGTTTCTCTACTTTGCAAGATTAGGACAAAGCTGCTCAAAATGTTCACACCTAATGGTCCTTTTCCTTCTCTATAGGCCTATTTCCTAAGAACATTCAGTTGTTTCTATGGTGACTCATGAGTCAATGGTTGTTTCCCAGAGTAATAACCTGTGTGTTAAATCAGACGGAGGAACCTCCTGGAGCTGATTTTGGACTGAAGGACTCTTCCACAACAAGCAGGAAGGTTTGGTATTTCATCCAAGGGCAGTTACTAAGAAGTAGAAGTATTTTATTAAAGGTGGTATCATCTACAAGAATGGAAGGTTCATTTTATTTGTGGTTGTTATTATTATTATTATTTATTATTTCATAATCCAACATGCCTGTGTTTTTTGTTTTCAGTTTCAACATTGATGCTTCCCACCAGGCTGCATTATTTACAGGTTTCATAGGTCCCTAGTTTCCTGCTCTTCCCAGAACTATAAGGCAGGACTCTCTGTGAAGAAACTAGAGACCCCAGGTCACAAAGACAGTCAGCAGCTCAGCTGAGACAGCAGGAAGACCCAGATCAGGATACTTCATAGATTTGCATGTGGCTCTCATGATCTTGACATACTGATTAGAAACTCATTCTCTGCAAGCTCATCTCGGAGCCAGGAAGAGAACTTTTCCATTCAGCAATAAGTGAATATGGTTCGAATGAGACACCTGGGGGTTGGTATCTAATTAAGGATATACACACACACAGGCACACTTACACACATGCATCTAAGAGTGTGTAGGCGACCACTATATATGTTATATATTAGAGATGCATGCTTATGCTTTGAATATATGACAGTTGTTTTCAAACCCAGTGCCTTGCACGATCAAGTACATCTCCACACAATATTTTTAGAACATTATCTAACAATGTCTACAAAATAAATTATTCATGCTTTTTTACTTGGCAATTCCTCTTTTGGTAATATGAAAATATCTATAGAAATGGAATTTCACAAATATATGGATGACAGTGTTTATGAAAATATTGTTCAGAGTAACTAAGAAAGTGTCTATGTGATCCATTAGGTCTTATGACTAGGGCCATTACAAAACAAGTAGAAAATGAAATTATATCCAAATGACTATGACATTTCCCTTCTTACAGAACTGAAGGGCTGTCTACCATGGGTTGCTATAGGAGCTAAATTACAGTGGAATATAGTTATTTGAAAGAACTCCTTAAAGGAACATCACCATCTCTCTAATGTGGGACTACAAGTGCACCTCCATTTGTTTATGTGTGGTGTAGGAGGACCTAGCAGAAAGGTATGTAGCTTGTTAACAATAGGCACCCAGGAGGAGGTTGGGCGTCCATGAAGGACAAAGGGAGAAGAGATGCCTGCTGTTTTCTTTGCTGGCATTTCAAAGTTTTCAATGGTTACAATATGCATATGTTAATTTGTGAAAAATAAGACTTGCCCCCACAATGACCATCAAAATCAAAACAAAAAACAACCCCCTACCAAAAACACCCAACAAAACAACAACAACAAAACCCTTTAAAAGTAAAGACATAAAATTCTCAAGTAAGTCTTCCAAATTCTTTTTGGGACTGTTCCTCAGTCAACACCATGAAAGCAGAAATATTCTTATTTTAGTTAAAAACCAGACACAGCATTGAAGAGGAGCGTGGAGTTGTCACTCTAAGCATTCTCAGAGCTAGTTAGATGTTGTGACTGTTTCACCATCCTAGTCTCTCTTTTTTCTTTATTTCTACTTTATTTATTTTTTTAATAATAACTGCATCGTTAGAAATACCAAGTTTAACATACACAAAGCCAGACAGCGAATTTCTATTCCCTGCCTTTTGAACACACCAGCAGGAAAAGAACTGCTGAGTGCAGATACCTTGCTCCACTGTCTTGACTCTGGGAGTAACCCTGCTGAGCTGAGCACCGAGGAACATCCCCCCTACCCAAAGAGGGAGGCAAGCAGCCTGTGACACCAAACTGACTTGAGATGTCTCACCTTGTTCTCCTCATCCCAGAACTTGTAACTATAAATAGACCCCACCAGGAGACAGAACCAACTTTGGCAGGCAGGTCTGCTGGGGCATCAGAACCTGGCACTCTGAAGGCTGGCCTTGTTCCCCTGGGTTTCTTTCACCAGTCCTGACTCTCACTTGCAGAATGACAAGTGACAGAACTATGAACAGCAGAAGTCCTGGCCGTGATGGTGATGACCACAGAACTTCAACAATGATAAAACTTACTGTCGAAAGCACTAACTCAGCAGATCCTTCTGGGCTGTCACCATCGAGCTCTAAAATTCCAAGAGTACCATCCACAGCCATACACAATAGCTATAGCCCAGTACCAGGGTCCTCCTCAGATCCTATGTCCTTAATCCATCCTACTTTAGGAGCCAGTGAGAAGGCAAAAGAGACTGACTTACCAAGCCAACTTCTGTTTAAGTACACAGACACAAACACGGGAGGGACTGTGAAGAAATCTACTACAGAATTCACTTCCAGCCAGAACCAGAGCTTATCGTTGGCTGCAATAAACTGGGGAGAAAGAAAAATAAGACAGAAAAACAAAATGAGAAGCATGGTGTCAGCCTTTTGTCAACTGATAAATGTTGAGTTTATGTGGGGTCTGGAGGGTGACATTCTGTTCTTCTCCTGTTTTCCTGTATGTCAGTCACTAGCTTGTTTGGGTTTAGAAAGTGACCATATGCCACATTAGCCTTGGAGATTGATCAGGCAATATAATTTCCTGTGGTTCCTGACAGCCTCATGGAGAAGGCTGACTAATCTCACTTTCCTTGGTCTCTCTAATATAAATCTGCCTATTGAATAAAGCACACATATATGCACTCACACGTATGTCTGCAATTCAGATTTCATACAGAACTCTTCATGAGTACCATCTAGTATGAATCCCCAAATCTCTCCAGCCTTCACCCCTGTTTGGCTCTGACAGTTGCAATCTCAACATTGCTAAATATAAATTGGTGAGCTTAAGATACTTTTTTTTCCAATTTACCTTTTAATAAAAACACCACATTCATGTTTGAATAGAGGACTGAGAAACACTGAGTCAGTGGAAGTATCATTGTTTCAAACCCCTTCCTTGAACTAAAATAAGCACATATTACAGAAAATGCCCAGCTAAGCAATGAGCTTTCACGTAGACCCCAAACTAGAAAGGTTTGTTATCCACCATGGAGTCCTCAGACTTCACCTTGCCTAGGAAGAGCAGCCATGGGTAACATGTCAGCCTTGAGTTTCAGATTTTCACACCCCACTGTGGTACTACTGAGAGATGCTGCCAGCCAAACTTACCCGCAAGCCAAAGTAGAGAAGGAAGAACACGTTGAAAGCCATGTCGATCTGTAATGTGAAATCTTTGTAGAAATTCTGGCAGGATTCTATTGGGCTATTAGACGGGAAGAAGAAAAAGCAAGAGGTAAATAAGAGACAAAGAAAACAATATCACAGCTTCCACAAGGCTGAGAAATGATATATGGAGTAGAGGACAAAATACATTTGGTCTTTTTACCCCTTGTGACCATCAAGCAAGCATTGCCAATGGGCTTTCCATTCAACCATTCAGCGTCTTGTTCTTTAATTTGCTGGTGGGGTGGTAATTTTAGATACTATTTTTTAATCATCATTCAACAGTTGATCTAAGACTTGAAAGAGGTCCATGCATACTCCTTGGAGGAAGGACAAGCAGGAAGGACTACCAAATTCCTTGATTTCACATTAACCCTTAAAGAACTGATTTCTTCAATTGAAAGAACTCATAATAAGGCTAAAATCTATGCCCTCCAGCCCATTAGAAGTGGGGCCCATTTTCTAGCAGCTATGTCTGGATCTAATAAAAGCCATTAGCAGATTTGTAGAGGACCCAGGAGCATCTCAAGAAAGTTTTGGAAGAGTGGATACTGTTCTAGCTAGACTAAGCATAGAATTCATGCATGGTACTCTGCACTCAGGAAGGAAACAATGTTCAACAATAAAATTCAAGATCATTAAATTAATGCATGGAAGCAGTACTCTAAGGGTTAATTTTGTTGGTTGTTGTAGTTGGCATGCAGGTTAATGGGCTTTGCTGTGTGTGTGCCAAGCAGCCAATGCGCATCCCCAGTACAGTCTACTTTGTTCAAGAGTCAGCAGTTCCAAAAGGTACTACTATACAAACTGGTACATGGCTTCCATGAGATTTCCCACAGCAAACTGATGAAAGCGATACTGTGTGAAAAGTCCCGAAGTCTGGGCCAGGTGGGAAGTATCAAAGTCGCACAGACATCTCAAAACTAGAAATGAAATCCCTGTATAATGCTGTCTGTAAGTAAAGGGGAGCACTCAGACGGTGAGGTGGGGAGGAGGGAGGGAAAAACGGAGAGACCCCTGGATCCTCCTTTAGATGGGAAGCAACATGGACCTCTCCCCCCAAGAGAGAGGGAGCTGGAGAGGTGCATCAGGAATGATATCTGAGCAGCATTGTCACTTTAGAAATCATTGCATAAGATACCAGTTAGTATAGTTGTACTTTAATCAGGGTGATGTTTGGCTGTTCAACAGGCAAGAGTCGGTGCAGCCTGGGGATGCAGGGCCCACTCAGAGGCACCATAAGTCAGTCTATGGGAGTTTCCAGTCATGTGACATGCACTGGCTTTCCCCATTCTTCATTTGGGATTACAAACCAAACATGCCCCTTGTCATGTTCCAAACCACTGATATGTGGTAACCCTCCACACACAAAGGCAGAGTAGCCTATTCTTGCATTTACAAAGTAAGCAGACTGAACAAAAGCAACAGAAAATGGTTGTTTTTACAAAGGAAATGACAACTGCTGAGTTCTCACTAAGGCAGGAAAAGTGAGAGGGAGACAGAATGGAATCTGGTTAGTCCAGTGCTGAAAGAGGCAAGAATAAAAGCTTACACAAAACAGTCTACCACTCCTCCCTCCTCCCAAGCATGCATTTAATGAAAACTAGGGCTTGTAGTTAACAAGGGACATGTCTGCAATTCTTAAGCTGTGGTGTGGTATTATCAAGAGCAAGAGTACAGTATGTTCCTAAAATATGCAAGGTTGACAGGAAAGATCTACTCTAGATCCCAAGGACCTTAAGTTGGCAGCAAACGTCTCTGTGGTAAGGGAATGACTGGCAGGATACACTATTGAAAATTAAGTGGTGTGTGTGTGTGTGTATGTGTGTGTGTGTGTGTGAGTGTGTGTGTGTGAGTGTGTGTGTGAGTGTGTGTGTGAGTGTGTGTGAGTGTGTGTGTGAGTGTGTGTGAGTGTGTGTGTGTGTGTGTGTGTGTAAGAGAACAAATGAATGAGATGCCGGAAATGTGTAGATAAGCATGGCACTCATGCGCTCCACTGTGCGAGCAGGAACTTAGCTTCTGCATTAGAAGTATATAGTCACCTATTTTGTTGTACGCACAGTCAAGGGAAACAAAGGAAAGTCTTAGGTCCAGGTTCATTAAGGAAAATCCATAATTACTTCATTAAGGCCAAGCAGTAAGCTCAATATTGCCTTCCCAATAGTCAACAATGGAGATATTGGTGTCATCTGGGGGAATCTCTGCTTTCTCTAGCACCCATTAATTCCATCAGTTTGTGGATTCATTTGGGGTTTCTTGGAAAAGATTGTTTCTGGACTGTGGTAGGTAGAGAGGTGGCATTTTAGAGTCACTGAGATTATTTTTGTTGTTGCTGTTCAACAAAAGTGGGGAGATATATTTAAAAAAGTATAAACAATCAGACCACAGCAATTCTTCTCCATTGTTCCTTGATTTTTGGTCCTTTCTTTCATTCTGATCCTTTCCATATTGCACAATGTACACGTGCAACAACGAGAAGCCTTTAATTTAAAGGATGCTCTGTTGGAAACCATGTCCCAACACTCCACAGCATTCACAGAAAGCAAAACAGAAAACATAACAGATCTTGTCATGGGTCATTGAAAAATACAGAATTGACTTAATCATCACCTTGTTACCATTCACTGAGTCCTACACTCTGAGCTAAAACAATAAAATAAATACTGTTCTGGTGTTTGGAGTGGCTGTTCCTCTGGCTGAGGTCCATCCTGAGCTATAGACAAGGTTGGGAAAAGGGGCAAGAGGTGAGAAATTCTGATACAAAAAAAAAAAAAAGATCTGAGCCTCTCAGAACTTAGGAGGAATCAGAGAATTCTGGGGATGTATTTTATATCCCTTTCAGCAATTACCCCCTGCCATAGTAGTGCCAGGAACAACACCCTGTATGGTGTCTGAAGTGCCAAGAGACCTATTTATCAGGATCCCTTCTGAGATAAATCCTCAGAGTGCCTACAGTTCATACTCTCACACAACCAGAGACCACAGAGTGGAGATGCCAAAACCCATTATTTCATTCCCCAAATGGAAACAATCCATGGAGTTCATTGATCTTTTAAAAGAAGAATCCATAACTCAACAACCAAAAGGTTGGCCTATCAGGATTTATTTTTCTCCCCAAGAGACTTTCTCTTAGTGATTATTACTCATTGCAGGAGGAAACCGAAATGGAAGCGCCTCTTTGGTCGTGTGTAAAGCAGCAGAGTTTCCTTGTCTACATCCACAGATGGCAGCAGGGAAACAGGGCTTCTATTTAAAACTACAAAGGAAAATGACTGTGAGTCACATTCTTAAATTTAGATTGCCATTCTGATGAGGCATGCCCACATCTGAAAAGGCTTTAGGTGAACATGCAATGCTGATTGGGGGTGGAGGGGTTAAGAATAGAAGGAAAAGACACCAGTTCGAACTGTGATAGCAGCAATCTGGCCAACCCTAACTCATTCTTAGTTAATGAGTAACTGGGTAAGTAGAGGATATAATTCTTGTATCTGATGGACTTTTTCATTCCTAGGTTCCCACCGTCTCTACAGATTGGGTGTGATATTGCAGTCTTGGGAACATTTAGTGTGCCGACCAGGAATCTAGAATTGAGGACCTTTCCAAAGACCACCACTAAAAAGCTCCTTCTGATAGGACATATGCAATATAGGACAGGCCTGAAATACAAACTTGAAAGCACATGCTTAACATATAGTTGTCTCCAGAGGAGAGGAGATTAGATTTTCTGTGGAAAAATGAATCTCTTTCTACATCTACTAAATAATAAAATTTCTGGTATGGATACCCTTGAGCATGATGATTCCATAGATAGAACTCTCTGGACGTGACTTTGGAACTTGTCAAAGAGTAAACAGGAGCCTTCCTGACTTTTCCTTCCAAAGGGCACCCCGTGAAATCCAGCATCATCTTGAAGGGGGAAGTACTGACCCTTCTCTTAAGCCTCCATACCTCTCCTTCTATGCCCAGACTCTGTTTTTCTACCTCCTGCCTTTGGCTGCCCAACTCCATAATGCTATTTCTTCCATTCTGTGCTTCTCAGACTCTGACCTGCACCTGGAGGCCATTGCTAAAGCTTGCTAGGCCTCACTCCAGTTTCTGATCCACTCCTCTGGATTAGGGGTCTAACCTTTTGCTTTTCTCCCAATCTCCGAAATTCCTCTGATGCTGTTGTTCGGGGACCCCACTTTGATAACCATGACTTCTGGTGAATTTCCTAGCAACTGTGTACTAATTAGAGGTACCATTGCTCAAGAAGACTTCCATTAAGACCTGAACAGAGATGATTAAGAGTCTAAGGTAGCCTCTCTACTATTGGTTAGATTGCAAGTTGGTATCAACCTTGTAGATGCAAGCTAAATAAATCTTTTCCTCCCCCGGAAAAAAAAGAGAGTTTGAGTCTATCCTTAGACAACCAGCTGCATATCACTTTACTAATTGCTAAGATCAAGGCTTTGAACAGATATTTTCAGTTTCAGATATGGACAAGAGGAAAAGGATTAAAAAGATACAGGGGTATAACACTACCTTACACATTTCAACAATGGATGCTCCAATTAACAATCAGAGTACCCACCGAATACAATCTCAGTTCTAGATTAAAAGGGAAAACGATGAAATCCAGATGTGGAAGGGTGGAAGGGGTGGTGGTTTACAGGGAATAAGGAAATGGTAAGCAGTTTAGGAACACAACAAGCATTCAGGATGGTGTAATAGGGAAGGGACTGGTGGAGAATCATAGTAACACTTTGTGCAATAATTTCTAAAATTCAAATTCTCCCCACTATTGAAGGCTAGTTCCTTTTAAAATTCAATGGGGCCCTCTCAGTCCCCACCAGGATTATGGACCACCAGAGGTCAGACTTAAGGCACTGCAGACATAAATCAACTCGATACGCTTAATGATAGTAGACTCTACTCCTCCGGCCCACCTCTGCAATGCTGCTGGATTAATCTAATTAAAAGATGTCATTCATGGAGCCTTAGGGACCCCTCTGTTACAAATATCAACTCTGAGCCTAAGCCCAGATGTGAAGAAACTCC